AAATACGGTTTGCCTCAAGACCTGAGTGATAGTGATTTGCAGCTTAAGCTCAAAGACTTGAAACTCAATGTCAAAGAGGAGATCCGCAAAGAGCTTAAGATCAAAGAGGGCGCCGAAAACCTGCGCCGAGTGACCACTGATAAGAAATCGCTGTCTAATGTCAACTCAATCGTCAAAAAGTCCAATAATAAGCTCCAAGAGCTTCAGGAAGACCTCCAGGAGCTTAACGCCCACATTGTGGTCAACCACAGCGGCGGCTATCACTCGATCGGCACCAACGATGCCGGCGACCCGACCTCCGATCGCGAAGAGTTTGACACCACTGGCGGTGACAATCAGATGGTGTCGGCCAACACTCAACGACTGCTATCGTTGGAGAAACAGTTGGACATTGAGATGAAGGTGAAGAACGGGGCCGAGAATATGATCCAAATGTACAGCGGATCGCAGGTGAAGGACAGTCGACTCAATAAGAAACTGTTAGCCGAAGCCCAGCAGATGTTGGCGGACGCGAAGGCCAAGATTGAGTACATCCGGATGATGATCATGAAAGTTAAACAGAAAGAGTTTAACGACAATCACGACAACAACGGCCAGTCGGCGGCCATCACGACGGGTGGCAACGACTCGTACGGCGCGAAACTGCCTGAGATTATGTCACCGCTGGAGTTGCGTACGGAAGAGCTCCGGCATCGGCTGAAAGTCGAGTGCGCGGTCGTCGACGGCGCCAAAAATGTTATTAAATTACTTCAGAGCTCTAAAGTGACCGACAAGAAGGCTCTACAGGAGGCCCAGTCCTCGCTGTTTGAGTCGAGCCAAAAGGTGGACGTATTGCGTAAAGCGTTGGACATGTGTCGGCAACAGTTGCCGCCGGGTTCGCCCAAATCGGCCGCTCTTAAGCTGGAACTGGAGAGCAGCCAATGCGTGAATCCGACCATCTATTCGCCGACCATTGCCTACAGCACTGGCGGTCGACACTCCGTTCAAAGTACTACTCCGACCACTATATCGAAACCGGCGGCCGTCACCGGCAAACTCGAAGTGCGGCTCATCGGGTGTCAGGGGCTGCTGGAGGACGTGCCCGGGCGGTCGCGGACCAACTCAGTGTCGGGCGATAGTCTGCGAAGTGTGTTGCGGTCGTCGAAACTCGGGCGCACGTCTTCGCGCTCCTACTCTATCAAAGACGAGATCTCTAACGAAATAATGGCTGTCCTTAAGTTGGATAACGTGAGCGCCGGTCAGACAACGTGGAAGCCGTCGGCGCAGAAGGCGTGGGACCAGCGGTTCAGCTTAGATCTCGACCGATCGCGCGAACTCGAGATCCAAATCTTATGGCACGACTGGCGCTCTCTTTGCGCCCTAAAGTTCTTGCGTTTGGAAGAGTTCATTGACGACAATCGGCACGGAATAGCTCTGCATTTGGAACCTCAGGGCATACTATTCGCCGAAATAAAGTTCGTTAATCCCATGATATCTCGCAAACCGAAACTCCAGCGCCAGAAGCTGTTCCGCCATAAGGGCAAGAACTTCCTGCGACCCAATCAGATGAATATCAATGTCGCCACTTGGGGTCGACTCATGAAACGCTCCCTCCCTCAGGCCTCGTCCGACCAGAACATCGCCTCTCCTCCGCCC